TGATGATGATGATGATGATGATTTGCAGCTTATACCGATGACGATGATGATGCTGATGCTGATGCTGATGATGATGATGACGATGGCAACGCTGACGATGCAGCTGCTTCTGCTGATGGTGGTGGTGATGATTTGCATCTGATGATGATGATTTGCTGCTGGCGATAACGATTCGAAGATTTGTTCGCAGAAATGAGGATTATGTTGATGACTAGCAGATGAGGATGATGATGATGATGATGTTGATGAACTGCAGATGATGATGATGATGATGATATAGAAAGGAGGAAATAGTGGCGGGGGCGGCAAGGACCCAAATAAGATTGATCTCTCGGTCCCCTCGCCCTCCAGGTCCCATGGTATGTGCATGCATCCTGTTGTCCTTGACTTTGCCTGTACCTCTGAGAACCAAATGACAGATCGGGACCGAAGCACTCTGTTACCAGGTGAATAGAAGGGAAAATTTGTTAGATACCCCTCAGAAGTGCGACACTCATCAGATGCCCCTAAAAATTGGTTGTTCGCCACTGGCTATGTTTGGTCCTCGTGAATAAAAGGGCATGTCGCTGTGCTATTGAGAGGAATTTCGCGAGCGACCATGATCCTGATTCTCGGAGATGATTGAACTCTCTTCCTCTCTGATCTCCCCATGAACTCCACTTATCCCGGTGCGCAACTGGACTGATATGTCCTCTCCCTCCCTCCCTCCCTCTCTCTCTCTCTCTCTCTCTCTCTCTCTCTCTCTCTCTCTCTCTCTCTCTCTCTCTCTCTTGTCTGCGAGAGAACACATGATGTTGACGTCAACCAGATCCCTGCAATCTTTGCATCATGGTAAGGCCCTCTCTCCTGTGTTATTTATAGATCTTGGCTCAGTTTTCGAGATGAAATCAAATGGGCGGTGACGGTTGGTCCTTGGTCGTTTTACATTCGTTTTTTGGAACCTGTATGGTTGATAGGAAGGTTGACCCTCCCTTCGCGCACACCTGAGTGAAGGGCCTGCGGATTTATCTCGTGTGCACCCACTCAACGCACGTCATGCCGCGCTAAACCGGCTAGCATTTTTTTTTGACTCTCAAGTGTCATAATTATAATTATCAAATGCACTTTGATTCCACCAAAGTCTCAGCTTTGACATTTAACAGGTAATGCGTGTTGATAGCACTGAATGCACTTTGACTTTTTTTGACAGGTAAGAGATAAATTAAATGCCCCCCTTCAAGACCTCTTCGCTCTTAACCTTGATGGGTTTGAGAGTGAATGCACTTTGACACCGCTTCCCTCTTTTTTTTTTTTTTTTTTTTTTTTTAAAATTTTTTATAGTTTTTCCTTTTCTCCTTCTCCCCCCCTCTCCCTTTCCCGCCCTTTTCGTCCCCCCACATCCCACGCACGGGGAGGTGGGAAAAACGAGGAAAAGAATAAAATGAATGGTTTCACTATGTACTTCATGCTCGGCTCTGTTTGTTTTGTTTTTAGAGTTAGGTTTTTCTTCCACTTTTTTTTTGTCCTAATGTTTTTTCTTCCCTCTTTTTTTTTTTTTTTTTTTTTTTTTAAAATAATATTTGAGAGCCCTTTTCCAAGCCCTCTATCTCGGTGGCGGTAAGAGAGCCGCGGGGATTGAAGGCTTGTTCCTTGGGCTGCTCCTGGACCATCTATTGGTGGGGAGCGGCACCTGCTGGAAACAGGGTCCAGCGTCCCTTAAAACATAGTTACAGTCTCTGGGGTCATGGTCTTTTGAAGTTATCCTTGGAGCTGTGTATTCCCTAAGGGCTGCTCATATTACCCTCCCTTCCCTTTTCAGCTCAGAGTCTCTCTCATTTGTACGACCTAGCCCTGTTCCCTGGTGGTATGGTCTCGCATTGCAACCTGAACTCCCATTCCCTTCATGTTGACCATATCCCTGGGAACTGCCGCCCTTCCCTAGATTGCACTTAGCCAATTGAACCTAGGTCTAGTCTACTCATGTTGTTTTTAGTAAAGAGTCAAGTCAATGCAACTTTGATGATACTTGAAGAGTTACTGCACTTTGATGATACCGCTTATTAACTCTTAACTTTGATAGTTAAGAGATAACAATGAATGGCCTTTGGTGCCACTTGGCTCTTATTCCCTCCATGATCTATCCACACTCGAAAGAGCATTAACTGTCAACTATGGGCGCAGTTCCGTAGAGCCATCCATGCACATCCCGCTTAATATGCACTCCATGGGCACTCAAGCACATATTAGAGAGTCCATACTAAGTGGGGTGTTCACTTCAGAGGGAAATAGAATGCAGGCAAGCGTAGAAAATGCCTTCCTTAACTTGACAATGTGGAATGGGAATGGCTGGACCACACAGCAGGAGGAGGAAGAACCACAACCGGAACAAAAACAGATAAAAGTTCATAAAACAGCAATGATCAGGACAGATGGGGGGGGCAGCATTGCAGCAAGCAACCTACCCTTCCATACAACTGCCACAGAGAGGTTTTGTTTTTGACACAACTGCGCCTGTGACCGGTGCAGAGTTCCCAATTCGCGGAAATAACTGCACACTGCAGGTCAGGGCGACGAGCAGTTACAAACTGCGAAAAGAAACAAAAACTCATGCTGCCGGCGGCCTGCCAGCTCAACGATTGGCATAAATCGGAGGTACCGGTACCGCTACAGGTCAAGTCGTTTTCCCGAGGGCTGGAGCGGGAGCAGCCATGGGCATTGGAAAACGACTGGCGGAGGGGGGGGCGGGGTCGGAAAACAACTTGTGGAGACAATTTTTTGCCGTGGCCCAGCCACGGGCGTGCCCTAGACATCTCGGCTGTTGCCCAGCCATGGGCATGGCCTAGACATCTCTCTTGGTCGTGGCCCAGCCACGGGCGTGGTGGGCTAGACATCTCGGCCGTGGCCCAGCCACGGGTGTGTTGGCCTAGACATCTCGGCCGTGRCCCAGCCACGGGCGTGCGGAAAAAAAAAGAAGAAACAAAAAAGAAAAGAAAAGATRAGCAACAACCAGTGGCCGCCTGACACGGGCGTGAAAAAAACACAAAGGAAAAAAAACAGCACCCAACAGCGACTCAACGAGTGGCCGCCTGATTTTGCCGCTTTCGTACTTCCGACTGAGTAGGAAGTGCACAAAGCTGTTCCTTTCTTTGCAGTTCCTGACTGCCCTTGGCCCGGACCTGCCGTGCCCTGTTATTCCTGCAAATTCAAAACTCAACACCGCACTCCCGCGTAGTTACCATTTTTTTATTTTATTTTTTGTTCTAGGAGATCCGGCTTCATTGGAAAACTCAAAATTCTATTCCGAGGGTCCACTGCAGGTCGGATTAACTCGGACTCAGTCGAGCTATATCCAACTTTCTTTTTGTTTTCTTTTTAATTGATGAAGAATCAGGGATTTTTTTGGGCTTTTTAACTAAGCCCGATTTCGTTTAAGGAGAAAAAAAATCTCTGTTTTGACAAAATGGCMGATGTACAGACCACCCCGCAAACAATATAAGTAAAAACTGCCATGATCAGGATCTACGCAGATAGTCTTGTTAGCCCTAGTCTTTTTTAGTATGTCAGCTACAAAAAGTTTCTCGAACTTTTTTGAATTTTCCAAAGTGTTTTCAGCCAAAGCCGGGTAATGTGGCCAGGGTAATCTCAACTTGCTCTCTGTATTTTCGTGAGGGACATTGGGCCCGGTGCGCAGCAGCACGTGTAGCTCTCCACGAATAGACTGGAGCATTGTTTTGAAAAAGAACAAACAGAAAACAAAACGAAAAAGGAGAGGAAAAAGAAAGAGATACCAAGCAACTTATCCAGTCATAAAGGCGCTCAATAAAGCAAATCATTATAATGGCAAGAGTCCGAAAGATCATACGAGATATAAAATTGAAACGTGAAAGCAATCTATGAAGAAGGGACACGTGGACAGCTGTCATTGAAAGCAAGGGGAAGAGCCGTGCATGAATAGATGAAGGCACAGCAAAGAGTGATCAGCAACAGCGGTCGTGATCACTCTCTCACTCGACCTCCACCCTAGCCAACCCTCAGTCTCACCGTCCTTCTAGTTTCACCACCCACAGTTTTGCAGTAGTTATGACAAGGCAAGGGGCATTCATCCCTGACTTTGACATCTCAAGAATGTCAAACATAAAGTCTTAAACGGTTAAACCACTACTACCTTTCTTTTGTTCCCTCCCCCCTCCCTCCTTTTTTGAAGTTTTTTCTTCATTTTTATAAAGGGCAACAGCCTTGAGGTATGATCGCCGTGAGACTGACCAGCCCCAGGTATCCAGGAATTTCTGGTCCCATCTGGTTTCTAACTCACGTCTGCATTTCGGTGTACCAACTACCTTTCTGGCTGGAAGCCTAAGTCGTAAATATAACCCATACCTCATTCTTCCAACTTGAAGGCMGGTGGAGGCTGGACGCCTCCAGACCAGAAACTGGCAGAAAGGATGGCAGCGCCAACCGAAACAAAACAACAAAGGCCGGACTGGCGCTTTGGCCAATTTGAAAGCTTGGCGTGCAGCTCTGCKCTGCCTCGGCAAACAGAGGCTCAAAGGTAGTGGTGGTTAACCGCAGTTTGATAGTCAAAGTTTTCACCGCTGTAACGCTGTTTGATTAACCCACGGAACTACGTAGCCAACGTTTGTTGCAGYTGACAGTGTGTCTTCAAGACTCTTCAGCAGAGTCAGACAATGTCATCATGATGGTGAAGGGTAGCAGAAGGACAGAAGGAGTGAAGTGATTCCTGTCTCATTCACTKACAGGTCTATCAGTAGGAGTTGCACAGTATGGGACCGTGCTGTTGAAGACGACCTCATCTCCAACCCCTCTCCTACAGTCTCAGCACCCCCATGCTGTTCACAAGGGCAAGCAGCATCGCTGCTATGATCTTCCTCAAGGTGAAGATTTTTCGGTTTCCGACCCCWTGTCACACTAAGTCCTCCCAGAATAGATTTGGGACATTGGCGCAGTTTCATTTGAACAAAAACGGAAAGAAAACCGTCTACGCAGCTCCACTCACTATGCTGTAGGGGACAGAGCAGCTGGGACAGAGCAGCTGCAGTCAGTGTACGTGAAGAGGAACAGCAGCAAGTGCCACACTGTTGCTGGCACGGGAAGCTGAGCAGCTATGGCCGCCCTGGAGGGCAGCAAGGCTCCATCGCCAAGCACCAGTCTTTCACTCCCGCTGGGAAGAAGCTTTGCAGCGACAGTCACCCTGAAAGTGCAACCCCTCCTTGTCAAGTCTGTCTATCGGTCTGTCGCTTGGTCTGTCCATCGGTTCGTTCCACCGTTGCCTGTCTGTCCGTCTGTCTGGCTGTCTGTCTCTGTCTGTCTCTGTCTGTCTCTGTCTGTCTGTCTGTGTGTTTTAGATTTTCCCACAACAGCCCCAATTCCACCCAGGTGAATAGATTCACATTCAAAGCAGTCTTTATCCTATTGCAGACAACGAGAGCATTTGAGATGTCCAACATATTAAAGCATTTTTATAATTAGACAGTTTTTTGGTTGTTCTTGGGGTACCCCTTTCATTGTTCTTGCAGCTCCCCTTTTACTGTGACTCTTACGCACAAGGCTGCCCACTGTGTGTCTGTATGTC